TTCAGACGCCGCTAAGGCGTCGTTGCGAAATTAATTCGTCAAGGACAGACGCGGGTATGGCGCGAACAGCCGCAGCAACCGGTGTCTCCGTTGCTCGTGCCGTGAAGTATGGAAGTCGACGGACGTTAATACATCATCCTAGTGTCTGTAGTTTTGTTCCTCTTTCTAGGCGGTAGTTTTCGAGGGTAATTTGTCACGGCTGGTTCCCTTGTTTCCGCGTGTCGACTCGGCGCGAAGGATGTAGGCAGGACGCGTCAGGAATCAGGATACGGGTCCTTTCCCCCTCCCCGACCCTTTCCCCGGGAAGGAAGCTTCCTCGCAGAATCGTTATGCACGCTCGGATGAAGATGCTCCTCTGAATAATAATTCCTTCGTTTTTCTTCCATTTTCCTTCTCGTCCGTACAGTCGTTAAAACTCCTTCCTCGGGGAACGAGAGGAGCCTGGAGAGCTCGCCATTTTCGACCGTTTTTCCGCGTTACGATTCGTGGAAATGTTGCTTGGATCGTTGAACGCAAAATGCCCGTTGTTGATACCTCTCGTCCTAGCTGATTACGGGATCTATGCGGATGAGGGGGACGTTTAATGGCGGCAATAATCGAGGAGAGTGTTTTAAATCGTAAGGGGTTGCGATGTGTATTTGGACACTGGGATACAAAGATTCTATGAAATTTTTTATGGGGAGTGGTTTTTTTTTTACACTAGACGAAGGTCTGTTGAAGAAATATTGAAAAATGATTGGAATAGTCATACAAAGTGTAGTACTCGTTGATCAAAGTAATCCAGACATCAAAGTATCAGCTGCAATTATTATTAACCCTTTGACCTACGATTTACTTTAGGATCGTGAATGCCTTAATCACGACTGCCGTCTGACTCGTGTTTTTCGTGTTCGACTCGAATTCTCTACCACGAGTCTCGCACGTTGTTACAGGTTAAAGGGTGAATCATTATTCATTGCAGCTAATAATTCAATAAAGAAGCTCATATTTTTTTCTTGGAACACAAGGTGTAATTAAATCAAAACTCCATCTGGATCGGGCAAATATAGCCGGAGTCACAAGGGATTCGCAAACAAGCCTTACATTGTATACATCGGGAAAGAAAGAGGTAACCTGCACCTTCGAGACACAAGGAGAGCCAAATATTTTCAAGTACCAACGAAACGCAGACGAATCTGTCTTGTCTCAAGGCTCGTGCAAGCAACCATAAGCTAGGTTGTTTGTAACCACGAACGATGAATATACCACGGAACAGAGAGAGGGTAACCGAGAGTGGCGTACTGAGGGACGTCGAGGGAGGGGGAAGAAAGCGTCGGGGACGAAGAAGAAAAGCTGGGGGAACAAAGAATCGCGACCGCTTTAAAGTAAGATTTTCGAATAATGCTTTTCGAGCGAGCGCTTTGGAAAAAGGGCGGACGGTGGTTTAATTAACTCGACATTCTTGAAGGGCGGGGGTCAAAGGAACTCTGCGAGGGTGGCAGACTGCGAGCGAGTTTTTTCAAAATAATTATGCGACAGTCTGTGGCCGACGGAATTTTCTTCTGTACTTCGATTCGAGACAGAAAGGGGGTGGCGGCGTTTCGTGGATCGCGATCGAAGCGAAGAATACGAAGTTAAAAACTAATAAAAATCGGGTAATTAAGGGTCAATGAATTCGTCTTGAAAAGCACTATCGCGTGATCCCCCCAAAAATATATAAATCCGTTTAAAAAACGAAACTTCGCCGTCATATCTTTTAAATTAATAATATAAAAAGAATTTCATTTGCGCCACAATATAGATCCCATTGTATCCTGCAATTTACATCTAAACAATTTTTTCGTATCATCGATAGTTATTGAAATATGCGTCTGTCATACTTTAGCGTGGACACCCTATATATGTGTTGGGAGAATCATGCAATGGCTACATATGTATACATACATCTACAGACAAATATAGTCGCCATGACACAAAATACTGCCGTTTCTCCATGACGGGTACACTCGTCAAACACAGCAGAATGGTTAAGAACTTGTGAAGTCAATACAACAGAATTCATCATTTACCGTCTACAAAAATGTATTCATAACACATTACTCCACTACACGCGTACAGGGAGTGTGAACGTCCAAGAAACTACAAAATGCACGCAGTTATGCATCGTCCTAAAGGAATATTGATAACGTTTACAGAGTAAAGTAAATTCCGCGGTCTACGCATTACAAAAAAATCTATACTGCACTTTGGTTCGGGCTCCACCCTAAGAATCTTATCATAAATGAATTTTCCCCTGCTAAAAGGATGTCTGAAGATACATCCCCGTCGAAATTATCAGTATTCCAGTTCGTTACTTGCGAAATCTGTATGCACGAAACAAAGCGAAACCAAGGAAAGAAACCACAAACGCGAGGGAAGAAGCGAGTGTTACGCGGGAAATAACCACGAGGGGGCGAGGGGGCGGATCCTTGAGGGACGAGAAAGGCGCGATGCAAAACATATCAGGAGGGGGCGGGGGGAGGGGGGCGGGAAGATATTCAGAGGTTTTTGATCTCGCTGAGACGCGACTTTGATTTTCTGCTGAATAAAAAGGGGTTGCACCGTTGAAGGATCGACACGAGTGGTGTCGTTACTTGCCGAGGGAGTCATCCCCCCCCCCCTCCCTCTCCCTCCCACGTGAAATTTCATTTCAAAGGCACCGATAGGGAGACTCCTGGGTATCTCGAAATATCGCCGAGTGGCGAGTCCTCGGAGGGAAATCCATTCGCGAATTTAATTACTCCGGTGAATTTGTTGAACGACGTTTAGGGTGTCCCCGCGAAAGTCTACGGCCATTAAAGGCGAACAGGATAATCCTCGGACAATAGTCTCGGTTCGACGATGAAAAACGCGGTAGATCGCGTTGGGATAAGAAAATATTTCGCTGGGGGGAAAATTTGTATTTACTCGTATTTCGAGATTGGTATTTTATTTGAATTTTACTGACGATAACATCCTATCGAACCCTGAGAAAAGATTTTTATTGTAGGCTAAGATATCGATTAATGAATGTACTGTCGTCCAATCCAGAAGAAATACTCACGGAAGCCGGGAAATAATTTCGAGAGACGCGATACGAGAACCTCTGTATTTTCTACATACAGTCAGTCGCATGAATATTCGTACCCTCTATGTCTATTATAGAAATTATTCCAAATTACATGGATAAACTTTCCGCTTGTATACATATAGTGAAAAATTTATTTGGAAACACCAGACTTATCGTTTAATTCAAACAAATTCCTTCGATAAACAAACAGAGGGTACGAATATTTATGGGACTGGTTGTACGTTAACCTTTTCTTATGAAAATTGCCACAGAGATATCGTTCGAAGTTATGTACTTTTACGCCGTGTACCAAACCTCTGCATTGGACGTTCGCTGTAGCCAGGAAAAATTCCCAAACGTTAGCATCTTCTGTTCCCGAGCGATACTGTTGTTCCTATGGCACAATGACGGCTCCAAGAGGGTAAGGTCGAGGAGAAATGGCGAAAAACGAGCCAACGGCTGTCTTAACGAAGTGGACGGCGAAAAAAGAGCATCAATCCGACAGTTGCGGGGGCTGAATTAACTTGAGTGCCTCGATGGCGGTCGCGGGCACGGGCAAAGGGCGTTTTCCGTCGAGGAATGGCTGAAAAATCAGCGTCTTATTAGCAGAAGACAGTGGAATCGGGAGGAAAAAGAGAGAAGAATCGTCGTTTCGCAGACACTCCCGTCGCAAGGGCCAACGAACGTCAGGCCAGATAATTCGACGAGCCAGACAGGACAAGAACTGTATAGCACCGTGGAGATCCAAAGATGATCCCGAGGGGTGAATAGAAACGATCTTGTTTACCCTGTTCAACCCAACTTCGACGCTCCTGGCAATACGCTGCCCGTAGATTTTTGTAACGGGCACGTTTTATTCTCTCTTCAACGTCTTCTTCCTTGTCATTCTACTTCTCGTTCGTTTCTGTTCCTTGACTTAAGGGGGGGAAGCTACTGTAAAATCGTTGAATCATTTTTAATGCGTGTAAATAATTGATTTGCCATTACAACTAAAAAAAGAACCTAAACTGTACTTCTTAACAATCATTAAATAAAATATATGGTTCGATAATATGCCTCGAAGGTGCCGGGATAGGCCGTCGCGAATATATGGGCGTTTTCCGTTGGTCTGGAAGATTAAAAATGAATCGATTCTCTGAAAAAGAAGAAAAAAATCCTGAGTACTGCTTTTTACATGTGCTCATCTGCCAAACCTCACTTCTCAGTCAAAACTGACACGGTTTTTTAAGACAAAGTTGCCGAAACTTCAAGATTTGTAGTGAAATTTTATAACAGGTATTAACATTTTTTTTTTTTTTTTTTTTTGAACCTGAAACTAAATATTTTGAAAGTATGTGAGGTTTGTCAGATGAGCACATGTAAAAAGAAGTACTCGGGATTTTTTTTTCTCTTTCAGAGAATCGGTTCATTTTTAATCTTCCAGACCAGCGGAAAACGCCCATATCTTCAGGACGGCCTATCCCGGTATCTGCGAGCTATATTTATATGTACACGCATTAAAAATGTTAAACTATGGTGTAGTTTCAATGATTTTACAGTGGCTTTCTCTCTTAACCCCTCTTTTCTTGCAACCGCTATGGCGCCTCGAAGAACGTTCTCCGAGGAGGTAATACGGTAGAAGGTAGACGAATTTCGAAAAATACAGGATTTATTCGTTAAAAGCCCGCTGGCTCGCGACGAATTCGATCTGCTAGAATTTCAACAAAATAAACACGCTCTTCTCCGCCACGAGGCAAACAAAGACCGAACAAACATCGCTAATATCCATTGATGTTTCGAATAAAGGTCTGGCCCAGCTGTGTGGCAACAGTATAACCACGTGTCTCTGCAAACAATGCCCGTAACACAGTGAAAACGCGCATCATTCTCATCAGACTTATTCAACCGAGCGCGCTGCACGCCGTAATAAAATACAAAGACTGCTTTCACTCACCTCGTAGTATCTGGTACAGGAAGACCTTGATGTGGTCGGGGCTGAGATGCTGCGGACTGACGATGATCTTGTGTAGATCGCTCTGTAGCAGCTCCGTGATCACGTATCTGTGCGATGCCTCGTTAAGGAATTTATGGATTGTTATTAACCGCGACAGATTAAACCGTTTCCCTCGGCGAACGACTCGCAATTACCAGCTGATTCTCTTACGGCGTCGTTTGCACACGCGTGTCGATACCCGCCGATAAACGGAACTAACGCCAATATTGACGCCCATTAACCGGCCAATAAAACGTAAAATCCCGAGGACTGGTTCCAGAGGCTCCCTCCGTTTTCCCTTCCTTCTTTCAGGGGCAATTAAGACAACGCTCGCTGCTCGTTTCGCGACAAGCTTGCGCGCCCCGCTGGACGCGTTTATCGCGTCGCTCGAGCCATTCGAAACAGTCGCGATAAAAAATTAAATTAGAGCTTGGATTACATAAAACAGCCCGTTTCCTTTACAGGTATCGAGAAAAGATTTTTTCCTTGTCAACTATCGAGAACGATGAACTCTTAATTCGACCGGGTTAATTTAGTTTTATAATTTAATTTTGTAATTTCCTCGTTTCAACTCGCTTTCGCTGTCAGAAAGTATTTGAAGCCTACGTTTAAAGAAGCTTCAGGAATAAAAGCGCTTTATTTGCAAGGTCTTTATCTCCTCATTCGAAAATATTATTTCGCTCCGTCGCTGCAAAACAGTATTCGAAGCATTCTCAAAATTTCACCCGGCTTCGTCGCAAGCGGAGGCGAACAAAACGTCATTGTTCTCGCCTCGACTTAACTTCGGGAAGAAGTTTCGACCCCGATGGAGCTCGGGGGAGGGGAAGCACCCGTAAATTACCCTCCCGGGTTTATTAGGGCCAGCTACTTTCGTCACGGTACGACATCGCTCGACTCGATTCGTCTTCCGCGTTCTTTTTGCTTCCTGCCTTCATTTCGACGGATTAACTCCTTCGAAGTCGACGAGGGAACCCATTAGGCCGACAAAACGGTGACGAGAGGGCCCCTCTCTTTCCCTGTTTGCCAAGGTACCGATCGATCCGAAAAACCGAACGACCAACCGACCATTTCGATTGACGTTATCGCGATTTTATTTCCGTCCCATTACCTCTCGTCGTCGACAAGAGTGCCAGCAAGCCTCTAAAGTCGATGGACATTGTTTAAGGAAAACCTTCTCGTTGTATCGAGCTGATTTGTAAGTTACTTTTGCTGCAGGGTAATTTTGAATTCGGTTGCTGACTTAGGACAAGCGACGATCAACTATGGTGATTATATAATCGATTAAGATTTATTATGCAATAGTATCAGGAGGACCGAAAAGTAATCAATATTCATTTATCAAAGAAATCTTAAATACTAATCAGCAAAATATTTTCCATCATTTTCTAACACTTTTCTCCAGCGTAAAAGCGATTGTCCGATTCCCTTTTTAAAAAAGTCCTTCGATTTTTTACTGATAAGCTTTTCCAAGTCGAAGACATTTTGATTACTTTTCGGTCCCCCCTACTATATTTAGAAGTAAATTGTGAGTAAAACAACAGGAGCCACTTGGACAGGATAGGATACTTAATTAATAATTATCATGAATCGCCCAGAATTTATTCCTACATATTTTATAATGAATCTCAATCGACTATATAATTACCATAGCTGACTATGAGTTGCCCTAATTCAGCAACCGAAATAAAAATTTGCGGTGCAAGTTAACCGCGGTGAAAGTTACGTAAGAGTCAGCCCATTAAACCCGGTAGAATAAACATAACCTTCAACACAGCGACGTTACAAATTTTCATACCCCCTAGCGAAAAGCTACCAAAGCGCATCGACCTGGCGCACCGTTCGCCAAAAACTTGAGGAACAAAACAATCGTTTGCACGCGGTTTACACGCAATATACCCCGAAGATCGATGGATCCCTGGCCCGAAACTATGTCGAACGCGGAACTATCGAGATGATTAATCTCCCCGCCGTCCTCGAGGCCATCGAAAAATCGTCCAGGAGAAGACGTCGACAAAACAAACGGGGAGCGTTCCTCGGTAGCCGGAAGTTGGGCAATTACAAGAGACGGGATAATCGGCGGCGGGGCCCTTCAGCGAGAAAGTTAGCGACCCTCGGAGTCGCGGTAATTTCGAGAGGATCGCGCGATCGACGAGAGCCTCGCGAAGAAACGCTGGATCGAGGGGGGTTGGAAGTTTCGCGATAAAAAGCAGTGGAGAGCTTTTTAAGCGGACCAACCGACGGTCGAAGGTAAACGGTGCTCGGAGGGAGGGATGGGGCAGTTTATTCCTGTTCATCGCCGCGATGATTCCCTTCTTCGGCTATAAATCGAGACGTGTGCAGTGGAGTTACTGGCTACAGGGACGCTGTATACGACCATCTCCTTCGTTCGGGTAGACTTCTGTCTGGCCCACCACTTTTACGCGTTTATTCCCGGATTATAGTTGCACGATGGATAGTTCAATTTATCGTGTGACATCTTGCTCAGATCGATTAGCTTGGTAGTTGTAGAGCTCAAGAGAGAGGAAGTTACAAAGAGAGGGGAGGGCTTCTCCTGGTCCACCACTTTTACGCGTTTAGTTCCAGAGTAAAACTGCATGGCAGAGTGCAGTTTATTGCAATGTGTGATAAACTAGTAGTGATCTCGTTCAGATTGATTAGCTTGGTAGTTCTAGAGCTCAAGAGAGAGGAAGTTATTAGAAGAGTCTGTGGATTGGTAAGGACTTCATGCTGCCTGTTAATTCTAAAATAAGTAGATTTTTGGACTGAAAAGAAACTTAGTGGCCAGGTATCGCATTTGTTGTATTAATCCTCAGGGGCTGTAGCTGCGATTGTTCGGGTTTAGCGAACCCGAGGTACCCGAGCTCTTCGTAGGTCCATGCAGGCTGCAGATCTTATGCATTTAAAATGTACATCAACATGGAAAACATACAAAAATCCACGTAGTCTACGTAGCGTACATTTTGTTAATTCACTCAATAATATTAATATTCCCCTTTGAAAAAAGTACATGTACTTTTCAATTACGTCTATCGTGTACCTGCCACATTCACTGTACCACGAATGCATAATATCCGCGGTTCAGTACTAAGAACACAACTACAGTAGTGTCTCCATAACTGCACAAGCTCGAGACCGACCTTGTGCAGGTATCGTAGAGTTCGTATATTCTCTGATGTTTTGTACCGTAATGCTTTTATTGTAGCAACGATCTCTGATCCTACCAAGAAGCATATAGTCGAAAAATCACGGTCGGTGCTCTCCAGAGACTCGAGCTGACGATTCGGTACCGCGGGCGGACGAAGGACGTCCTTCGAATTTCATTTTTCCACGAATGGCCGCGCGCAGGAGCGCGGAGAGAAAAGGCTGGAGGAGAATGAAATAGTATAATGGCGGAATGAGGTCGACTGGTAGGTTGGAATGCAGGTAGAGGCTGCCTGCGAACCTGGCGTGGTATGCAAGTCGACTGGTCCGGCTGGCTCCAGCCTGAAACGCCTAAGCGCGGTTCTTTGCTCCGCGTTGCTTTCCAACTATCTCTTTTGAAATACGATCGATGGGCTATTCACTCCCAACTGGAGGAGGGGTGCGGGAGAAGGTGGACCTCTGTCGTGGATATTTCGACATACGAAAGGCGTCGAGGCGGCCTGGCCCCCGACGGGCAACCGGATATTTTCAGGATCGCGAGATTCGAGAGAGGATCGTCGAGGTCGCGCGGCTCCAGGTCCTCCTGGCGACCTGTTCTCGGATCGATCCACCGCTGGATTCGACCTGAACTCTCCCTGGAACCGGGCTTCCACGGAAACCGGGACGCTTTATGGACCCTTGGCCAGTGATTGGATCTGACGAACCGATTATTAGACCGGGACCCAGGCATGGCGATTGGACGGTCTTGGATGATACGTGAAAATGTTCACGATAAGTCGTGGAGAACATGCATGGGTCATGCGAAGATACTTGGGCTATTATTCATAGTACGTGTTTAATTTAAGTATTGAAGATACTCCAATTTGATTTTTATTGAACGATAAAGGTATGTGTAAATGTTCAATGGCTAATAAGCAAGTCATTTAATGGCAGTCGAGTGGAAATAGAGAATTTACTATTTTCATCTACTACGATCTCTGTTTCCGATGATTCGCTTAAGTATACCCGAGTCAAATCGTCCTCTTCCGTCTTTCGTTGGCTCTGCGCGATACTTTATGGAGTCGTTGACGCGGAATAATAGGAAGAATAGGAAGGCACGATTACGAAAAGACATAAATTACTGTACACACTCGAGGTGGGACATTTAAACGGGGACACCGATTTAAATATCTCTGTCGTCTATGAATTTATAGACGCACGGAAATACTCGTCCCCTCAAAGAGAAAATTACACTGTCAGGAAGACACGACAGGGACGGATAGAGATGGATTAAATAGAACAAAGATAGACGTCGCGACATAGCATTTTGACCACTTGGGGTAGAATCATCAAGAGCATACTCTGCGTTCCTTCGGTGAACTTCAATTTTAACCAAACATCCCTTGTAAAGTGAGATATACCCTTTCGTACAAAATTCATTTCATTATCCTACAAACATATACTGCAAAAGTTTATCGCAAAGGTATTAATCTCGTTCATCTCTGATATTTCCAGTATCTATACCCCAAACCTTTTACTTATAATTTCAATTTCAAATTTCCAACGAACACATATTCCTCGATACCTGAAGAAAGCTCCCAGTTTCAAAAACTTTTTAAAACTATTCCTCTCGCAACCATCTCCTAAAAACGCATAATCCTCATTCTCGATGAGTCAAATTACAGCTACTACACGATCCGCAATTCAAATTTCAATTTCTGTTCGACGAGCGTTCCCGATTCATTTGTTATCAGAAGCTTTCGTTTGGATAGGGATTTCGCCGGAGAAGCTTTCGCCGGTATTTGCAACAGCCCGTCGAGGTCGAGATGAAAAATTTCGCGGGCAACCGAATCCTGGGCGACCGCAGCGTTCATCGATCGCTCGAAGGACCGTCGAAGCTTTCACCGCGTTATTTAGAATCCGGCGCTGCGCGGAACGGCGGAGCTTTAATCGCGTTTTGCGGCACCGCCGCGATTTCCCAGCACGCTTTTCCATACTGGACCGCCTCGATCGAGTGCCGTCGGTACACTTTTAAACGCGTCGCTATCAATCCTCCTATCCGCGGACCATTTCGAAAAACGTCGTTTCTCTTCCCAGCTGCTCGATAAACAGGATCGCTGAAAAATAGAGTGGGAAATCGTTCGAGTTCCATATTTCAGAATGGACGGGTACAAACTGCTCTTTTCCTTCTCAATTTAGACAGCGGAGGAAGGTTTCATTTAAATTTACAGCGCTTTCATTTTATACAATAATTTTCCTTGCAAATGATCGTAAAACCTTATACTCCATGTAATTAATACTCCATAGTAATTAATACCGATTTCTAGGATGATAACGCGAGATGCCTCATCAGGATTATTTCTTCGTGTGAAAAGGAATCGAAAAGTCCTGTACCGTTTTCCAGTTCGAAGCTTCCTTACCTGGATACAAGCAACCAAATCTCATTTGGGGCACGCGTGTTCCAATCAGCTGACCGCGCATCGTCACTACGCGTGCGTCCACCTACAAACTTCACCTGCTTGTATCTCGATAACGGAACTTCGAATCGCAAAACGGAAAAGGACTTTCCGACTTCTGTTGCCACGAGAAATCAATCTCGAAAGGAATCTCTATATAATTTCGTACCAGATCTACCTCTGATACGATAAAAATATTTTCGTTTCTTCTATTAGAAATATTACAATACAAGGAAGCATCCAAATTAAACGATACAACTTGATTCTATGTATCCTTGATTTACTTTTTTTCTTTGTCTTTGAAAAGTCCACGTTATCAGCCGACTGATAAGTGTTGAAATCGACTAAACACCTCCGTTGGCAAGGTGCTGGGAGTTCCAAGGGATCGGCTAACCCGTGTATACGATACACGCGATTACGTTTCAATGGAACGTCCGCGTTAACGTCGCAAACGAGGAGGCGTAGCCGTAACTGAATATCAATAGTCGCTTAAGGATGTCCCGGCTCGACGGACATCCATGTTATTCTAATAACACGGCCCGCCCAGTTAATCGATTCACTTGGACGATCGAGCCGCGCGAACCTAACGCGGCCACCTGGTCCGTTCAATTACCATAGATTATCAATATTACCTGCCAGCACAAATATTTGCGTTATCTGAACGTCTGGCCGCCAGATATGCACAATTATCTAACACAATAAACGCGCTGGACCGCACGCCGCGCGGGAACACCACGATTCGGCCCGTTCCTCTGTTACGCGAATTTTATTTCATCCCTTGGTTAATTAACGCGATATTTAGCATCAATTTTTGCTCTGTTCCGCGCGTGGACAAATATTTATATCGAAACTCAGGGTTTCCAGTCCTTGTTGCTGGTTTAACTTGGAACTTTTTTTTCTTGGAACACACGATAGACGAAGTCGAATTAATTACGACTCACGAGTCCTGCTACAGCGTGGACTTCGAGAGTAATTAATTGTTTAACGAACTATCGAGGAATACAAAAGAGTAACGGAGCAACAAAATCACCAATTGCCAAATAAATATATCGCTCCTTCCCACTAATCAAAGCTTCCTTTTCCCTTTTATTTCACCCTTTCCTTCGCCGTTGTCACACACGTCGTTCGATGATTTCGTTTGACCGAGTACACGCGTTGTCCCGACTCCGCAATGTTTGATTTCCAGAATCGATTCGCACCATCGTTTCAACCCTCCGTTCTTCCTCCCCCTCTTTCCAACCGATACTGGCCACGTTTTAGTTTCCAACCACCCTCACGGAACAAATAAAGCCTCCCTTATCGAAACCGCAATATTTTCGCGCTTTTCCATCCAGCTCTCCCACGCAACCTTTCTCCACTTTTTCCAACGGGGTGAGAAAATGTTTCGTTTAACCGGCGAAACCCTTTCCAGGCGTGACTCGCGAGCCCGTATTTTTTGTTTTATTAATTTCTGCCCTGTCGTCTAAAACCGCGCTACCTTTGATCCAATACACGGCCGGGAAACATTTTTCGTTTGACGCCCGGAAGTATGAGAGAACGTTTGAGGGAATATTTATTAATTTCTGGTCACCTCTGCGGCTGAAATCGTTCTTTGACCCCGATAACGAGGAGGAAACGAAACAAGGTCCTGGCGTTCGTTATTTTCAGTAATTGCACTTTCGAAAAATGTTTTAGCGAGGAAGCTGAGAAACGCCGGAGGTGTTAGTATTATTATTTTACTTGAAACGACTGGTAGCTTTGTTTTATATCTCGAATGTTTTTTAGTGCACATTTATCGTTACTCCTACGTTTTCGCCCCATTTTTACTCCATACTTCATTCCATCTCTTAGGACTCCACTTCTTCGTTTCGTTACATACCTTGTTCCATATTTCACTTCTTTTTGGTTTCATTTAATATTCATACTGAAAACGTAATACTGATATTACTACACCTCGTTTAGTGACAAAAAAAATCTGAGACACAATAATAATCAGTTTCGTTAGAAGCTCGATTCGTAAGGAAATTCTAGGGGGGGGGGAGTCCCCAAGTATTAATAGGGAACAGAGGGGTGAACGTTTTCAAAAGCGGGTAAGTTTCTCAAAGTTTGCGAGTTTAACGCTACGTCCAACAAGGAGAAGGACCGTTTCGAGGGCACGTTTAAGGTCCCAGCGCCACCCCTTTGACGAGTTGACTCGGAAATGCACTCGAATCGAAACGTTTCGAACGATTTCCTTTCAATCCTATGAAACCAACGCCTTCCCAAATGCACGACTTATGAGAAGTTTGCAAGCTTCTTCAAGCCTCGTAAGTGATCTTCTACTTCTACCTGAATGAATTTTTCAATGACTTCGTGTGATGTTCCATCAACTATCAGACATCCACATACAATTAACTAAACCTGAAAGTCAGTTCTCCAGTTGAACATTTTTGCAGATCGTTCTAAACAACCTTAACGACTTCTTAGAGGTTCGCAAGCTTCATCAGGCCTCGTAAGTGATCCTCTACTTCCACCTGAATGAATTTTCAAACATCAATCATTCGCATGCAATTAATGAAACTTGAAGGACAACTCTCCAATTGCAAATTTTTGCAAACCTTTTCACCGGATGATAATGATTTTTTAGAGGTTTGCAAGCTCCCTAAGGCCTCGCAGGCGTCCTCGATCGTCGATTTCCACTTGATCGGGTTAGGGTTTCCCTTTTCCCATCCGCGAAAATCTTCCATCGAATTGGAGACGGTCGTCTGCGTGTGCTGCACCGGGGAAGCTCCGATTGGCGGATCGATGCGTGTCTGCCTCCTGGTAGGCACGTCGACCGGTTCCTGGACAAAGCGACTTGCCCCCAGCGTCTTCTCCCAGCGCGAAGGGAATCGAGTATCCTGCCGTTTCTCCTGTCTTCTCTCTCCTCTGTCCTCTCCCCGGCCGGCTTGATACCGGTCCGAGGAGGAAGAACCTGGAGGAGCCGCGAATCCTCTTCCACTTCGCGTCTTTACGTTCTCTCTGTCGTCCGCGTCATTTTGGGGACAATTGCGAACCATTCTCAACGCACTCATAATTTTTATTTTTTACAGAAATTTTCCAAGAGGTTTTCCACTATTTTGTGCTTTAAAATTGGAGTCCTTTTGTCCTACCAAAGGTGGGGATGATTTGCGAAGCGCTTTGGGATTGTTTGACTCGTGGAATTTGGGAATTTGACTGATTTAGAGTTTGGAATATATCGATTAAGTGGAAGTAAACGTATAACTATATAGTATATGTTACGACATGGGTATCGAGAGTATATTTATTCAAGAAATTTGTCTAAATCGAATGTCAAGTTCGATGTTTCCAAATAAATTTTTATTATAAATATATACACGTGTAAAGCTTGTTCATGTACGTATCCATAATGGACCATTTATTTGAAAATATCAAATCTATCATTTAATTCAGGCAAACTACTTTGATAGATATAGATGGTACGAATACTTATAGGGCTGACATATCATCCATATATGCAATCAAACAAAGCAGCACTCGATCGTCTCTCGCAATACATTTCTCGAACCTACAATCTATTCGAAGTAATTCAAAAATAATTCCCTTACTCCAGCCTACATCAAAAACTAGCATTTAAATTCTTAAATTCAAATGGATCGACTGGTTAATTTTTACGCGAAGTAAACAGTCTAACGCCATTTTCAGGAGACGTCGCAAGGATTTCGTGTTCCTTTGTCGCTGGCCAACAAAGAACAAGTTGAGGAGGATGATGAAGGCTTAGAGTCCGAGGTGTTCGAGCAAGGCCAATCGGGCTCGTCCGACCGGTCAACCGAGTTCGAACGCGGCTAGCGGGCAACTTCGAGAACCCACCAGGTCTCAGGATTCTTCTGCGCCCGATTCCTGTTGTCCGGCGAAAAAAATACGGATCCACGCGGCGCGAGCAAATTCTACAATGCGCCACGGCCGGAGATCTGCCTTCGATGCTCGAGGAGCGCTCTTCCGCTGCTCGAACACCCGGAAACCAGCGCGGGAACACGAGGATGGATTGGTCAGGAAGTTGTTTATCGTAACGGCGAGGTCTCGAGTTCTTTGGAATTGAAACGTGACGTTAAAGGGTCTCCCAAAAGGCACATCAGAACTTTTTGATTATTGGAAGCTGTTTACTGGGGGACACTTGAATTTTCAGGTTTAACTTTAGTTGAGCGTACGTTTAACACGTTGACTGCCAGACAAATCTGCTAGGATTAAATATTATTCGTGGTATTTATTTTTGTAAGTTCATAAAAACTCATGAATTTCATTTAAATTTATTTCCTTGGATGCTCGACTATCATAATTAATTTTTTTAATTGTTCGGTAAAAAGCACTGTTATCCATACACGGGTGACGTGGCGATCAACGTGTTAAAATGAAAGAAGTGTATTAACCCTTTGCACTCGAGAGGTGACTCTCAGTCACCTCTAGGTTTTCGTTAGGTTTAATTTCTTTGGAACTCAAAGTGCCAATAAAATGATTGTCATTGAGACAAAGGTGACCTCATTCTGAAATCTCAAATTAGAGATATCATTATCGAAGTCAATATAATCTTAGCATTCGTGCCAATAGAATGCTAAGAAAGCATCTCAAGCTGCTGGTAGATACTAGAAAGAAAGGCCTTGAGTGCAAAGGGTTAACCCTTAGAACAATTTAAACAACTTTGACAGCTGACGTTTACTTTTTTAACTTTTGTTCAAAAGAACGTTATACAATGGTAACATACATACAGCCAAATATTAAAAACGAGCTAATTGCAAGTGTACAATTCGATTTAAAGGTTCGGTATCAAATTTGAAACTTAGGGCATTTAAGGGGTTGAAACAATTGCTGTGCCAACGATTTGGGTAATCAGTGGAAATCGACATGTTTATTGTATAACATTATCGCTAAATTAGTCAATCTTTAATTTAAAGTATTTTCATTTATTTTCATTTCTATAAAATTGTTTCTCTCGGGAAACACCAATTTGACCGACTACCACACATGCTCCTCCAAGTGTGAAAATGTTTCTATTCGACAAATGTAATGTTTATTTCTTCCCATAGCAACCTTTCGACCATTTATCTTTTCTCTTCGAGGACAATAATGATTATACTTTCAAGCGCTGTCCTTCTGTGTGAAATCAATCTACGTTTTCCGCCGATGATATAGTAATCAAAGGGTACCAGAGGGAGAAGCGTCAAAGTTCGGAATCGCGGGAAACGCGAGTAATCGAAGCAAAATGGCCGTCGTTCACGGCGTACGTGTGCAATCTCTTTTTAAATAATGCGAGATCGAGGCATGAATCAAGTACAACGGTGGAGGTGAGGCGAAGGAAGAGGCAGGGACGAGAAACAAAGGACTCTCCTCGGCCCAAAAACTGCTCGAGCGATCGATACATGGTCATACATTGATACTCGATACATTGCCGGAGAAGCTGACGGAGAGGAAGTTGCAATCAATGCTTCCGGCTCGAGCCACGTTACACGTTGGGGGAACCACTTTTTCCCTTGTACAATATGCCAGAATTCAGTTGGTTAAATAAATAAAACAAAGTAGGTTCTCAGCTAGAGATAACCGACACGACGGCAGGAACATCTCCATCTTTTAGGGAGGATCGTTTTTAAATTAAAAAGAAAAAAGAAGAAAAAAGAAAATGTAGTTATAACTAGGCTGTATAATATTCAACGCTTTTAATCACGTGTTAGTGGTGATTTTTAGAGCAAATAATTCTAAACAAGCTAGGAATATGTATATCGCAGGGAAACGATAAAAGATTTGATTTGATCAAATCTCTATTTTTATCATTTCCCTGCGACATGTACACAAATCATTTATAGGGCGATAGGAAATATTAAAGTAATCTTTATCAGTGGTAAAAGCAGGACACGTTCTTTATTAGGTGAATAATAATAGTAATACTTTCTATTAGATAAAATGTTAAAATATTCATCGTTAGAAAAAATAATGAAATATACTTCTTAGCAGACGTAATAAAAAAAGCGAGGAACATAGAATCGATCCACCCATAACTTATTTTTCTCAAGCTACTAAGCCCCGCTCGAGTGTCGGCAGAATTTTCGACGGAAATTTTGTACACGGGCGATATTTTCTTCTAACGCGTAGAAATAATTTAACGACACGTCGTTAAGCTTTCGTTTCCGCCCGTCCCATGGAACGAAGGGAGGCCGGGGTTGTCATTAGCGGAACGCGATATTTTAAGCAGGCACTTTAAACCCGAGGGGAAAAACGCGAGAAATTACAAAACGCGTGCGTGAAGTAACACGCCTCGACGCGATGTTTTCATTCTCCGAAACGATGCACGAAGGAGCACGAGAAATCGGCGTCAAGGATACGAAAAATTAAAAAATATAACTTTTTCTTTTCGATGGGAAAACGGCACATATCGAAGACGCGAACGGTATTCAGAATTCAGTAATTGAGAAACTCGCTCGTTTCCGCGAGCTTGTATGTATGTTTTATGTTGTTTTGAATTTCAACTTTTCACGCGAATGTTTCTTTCTGTTTTGAGCCGCAACGTCGTTAGCGAGCGCAAAATATATTCAGCGTTTTCTCTGTTTTGCATTTTTTTCCTTGTGCGCGCAACGTCCTGTCAACTTTGTGCCAAACAGTTCGCGAAAACTCCGCAGACGAGGATATTCACGGGCGAAGAACACTGGCGATGGATTATAGCAGTGGATCGTATTAATAATTATTCTATTATTTCTGGCCCACCCTGTATGCCATTCGGCTCGATAGACGCAGAGCTCGAAGCGGAGACATTGATTTCCTTTTGCGCGACCGCAACAGCGTATATTTCGAGACCGCAAACAGGACACATCGTCTCGCCGTGATGTAAATTCGAGCTTGCTTGACGCGCAAAGTATCGATAAAAAATCGTCTAAACGTCTGCATTTTTAAGAGGATACGCCAAATTTTATGACGCATGGGGCTATTACAAAAAGGGAGAATTTAATGGCGAAGGAAAGTAATTTAAAATTTATAAAGAAGCGAAGATTAGATTTATAGATGGGGCTTGGAGATGAGAATAGGTGTATATTTGTACTGGCATTTCCTGAATTGTTTTATTCCGCTAGTTGTTTTCCAATAGCATTCGCAACGAGCGATGGGGCAACAGAGACAGCGGGGATCGTTCCAGCAATTTGATAGGACGTGTCGCGCGACGAAAATCAACGTTCCGCGAAAAATGACTTCCATCGAACGGAATTGAAATTTCGCCAAATAAAACTTCGCGGTTCCCAGCGCGATCGACGAACCGACGATGCACACGCGACGGAACACCACGATCGACGATTAAATTTTCGTTCGAGCACGCATACGGCTAATAAAACTCGATAGATCACGCCCTATCTCTCTTCGAGGTTCTTTTTATCCACGTGTCCGTTAGAAGTTCCTTCTAGCAGACACGAGTTTCCACCGCGAACGGGAACAGAGGTTCCAACTGGATCAATCCCGAACAGAAACGCTCCCTGTGGGGTGCGATGAAAAATGAGCAACGGTGAACCCATTCTGTTCAACGCAAATGCAACTGGAGCCTGATGTATTTTCAATAGGAATTTATTTATCGAAACAGCGAGGATCCATTACTTTGCATAAGCCCCGTGCAATTTGAACAAGACGTCTCTAATCTTTTTGAATGGCCTTCTTCATTGAAATTTAGCTACTACACTACCCAGGACCCAGTACTCACCTTGAACTTCTGACACTTCCTAACACCTTTTAACACGTCCTAACATATCCTAACACATTCTAACACCACTTAACAACTTCGAATAACTCCTAAACCTGCCCAACATCTAACAACACTTAATATTTCCCTTTGATCTCTCTTCATTTCCTGTGACCTTCCATTCTTTCCCAGGCCACCTCCGTAGTCATCACGTTCTCCTAGTACAAAAGGTAAGTTTCGAGTCAGAATTAAAAGTTATGCAACCACCTCGCTCATCGTGTTCTCATGATACCAGGAGTAAAATTCCGGCCCGAATTTTATGGTAACATGAAGAACACGATATGCGAAGAGGTGGCACGAGAAATTCAAGGTACGTATCGAAATTTGGTCAGAATTTTACTCCTGGTATCAGGAGAACATGATATGCGAAGAGGTGGCACGAGAAATTCATGGTACGTATGAAATTCTTGAATTTTACATTTTGGTATCAGGAGCACAAGATATACGAAGAGGTGGCACGAGAAATTCATGGTACGTATGAAATTCTTGAATTTTGCATTTTGGTATCAGGAGAACATGATATGCGAGGATGTGGCA